TGGCACATTTTATAGGTTCTATACTAGAAAAACAAATGTGCCACAAGTGTTCCATGCAGAATACATATTGGTGTCGGAAAAGCATTGTGAATAGCTAACCATGATATCGCGTTACTTGTGCTGTCACCCATAACTTTAACTCCTATCTTTTAGCCAGACCCTAACCGCTAACCCCAATCTCGACTTAAAGTCGGTTATAACTTATAATTTGATGTGAACGCGAACTCTCTGCCCCCCAAGGTAGACAAATCATACACAGAGAAAGTAGACACATATATGGTTAGCCAAGTATAGATATATCGCACTTTAATAAGTACCATATGTAGAGTGCGCTTTGTGTAAATAGTATGCATGAAGTTTTTGTTCTATATACTTCAGTAAAACTCTGTACGTGCACTGAATAGATGTAGTCTTTCTAATTTAACGGTTAATCCGTAGAGTTGTGACGGTGCGACTTGCCTAATTATATCTAACACATCTAATGTCGTACTAAAAGACGGGTTACAGTCCATTCTGCGCATGTGCGATTCTTTTTGTGTTGGTAGACTACTCATCTCTCGTTTCCATGATTTCCAGTCCGATTTCGTAATATACGCGCGGAAATCTCTTCGAAACTGTGTATTGCCACTTGTACAGTATCAACAATATGTAATTGCACGTATATTACGCAATCGGGCTAGAAACCACGGAAACCAGAAATGAGTAGTCAACCAAAACAAAAAAAATCGCACTTGCGCAGAACGGACTGTAACCTTTCTTGCTATTTGCCTGTTCGGTTGTTCATAGCGAGAAAATGTATACCATTATTGACCGTTTCCCTTTTAATCGTTTAATGTTAGGATATAGCTGAAATTATAGCTACAGTATCTGACTAAAGCAATTTTTTACAGCATTTCCGTTGTCCAATCGTGGTAGCAAAGGAATATAGTAAACATTTGGATTACAGTTTACAAGTACAGAAGGTGTCATTGATATTGGCGGTACGTTTTCATATTCTATATATGTATAACCTATCAAAACTGAACATACCAAGATGCGTAGCGAAATTGCTCAAATAAATTCTATATAATACCTAGCCTCTTCCGCATGCATCTCGTGGTACTTACTTAGAACAGTGAACTATATACAGTTCTGTTGTATAGTTCAGTGACTTAGAATCAGTGAATCTTAGAATCTCTCCCGAATTTTCTCCCTGCACAGTAACCCAATCAGAAAACATTGGTTATTCAGTAATTAAATTAAGAGATGCCTGCGGAGAAGGCTGTATAATCAGTACCGTATATCCAAGGTTACCGAGAATGCGATTTATAATAGACTGTATGAGATTCCCTTATATGCCCCATTTCCGATCATTTTCTATTCTTCTACTACTGATATTAATTTAACAGGAGAACATGCAATATAAGGGAATTAAACCGCACGTATATCGCCACGTTATGTCACGGCGGCCATACATGTTCGTGGTATGTTCGGTAATATTCCATCATTATCTTTTGTTGACTTTGGCATCAAAATAGCCACCGTTTTATTGTATTTAAAGTCCCAAGAAATTCGTTGCAATACTCTGTGATACGATGATACGATACGCAAGCTATGAATATGCGCCGGAATACACTTTGCAAATAGGCAATTCCAGCTTTTAGTTTATGCCTGCAGGGGATGATGGGAAGTAAGGCATAATCAGCAATGTGATACCTTACATCCCATCTTTCCCTGTACGCATAAACTAACAGCTGGAATTGCCTATTAGCTCTACATTAATTCCCAATTCAGACGTCACTCCATTCATGCACCGAATTTTTAGACCTTTCTCATAATGACGTCAGGGCGAATAAGCACTTAATTAATGCGATGTGAATTAACAAAAATTTACAATCAAATCATTGCTCAGCCAACCAAATTTTATGTATTTGCAGTGCAAGATGTTGCTAAACATGGTCCGCGCGCGGGACATTGCTTTGTTGTCATTATAAAAAAGGTTTATTGCCGATATATGCCACGTTGGAGGAGAAATATCGGGGGGGGGAGTGGCTCGGAACTTAATTATGCTGAAGTTTTGCCGCTTCAAATTCTGTCACAATTGAATGAGTCGAGTTATTGTTAATCTTAGTTCGAAGAAAGAAACTAAACCTGGACCATTCGTGCAAAACCTCGTGGCGAACAGAGGCTTAACCTGAAGTCGATCAAGAAATTTCATGCTGGCGTTAGCCCTCAACTTTCGACAACTTGGCTGTTTAGTTTGAGTCGCTCTTTATAATTAACAAATATAAAACATTTTCCGTGTTGATTAGCCTTCGTACCAGACGCTCTTAGGCGGAGAGTGAGGGTGGGAAAAGCTAGGGGGGGGGGATGCGAAGGCGAGAGAAAGAGAGCAAGGAAAATGGAAGGGGCGAGAAAGAAATAGCTATTTCTTTCTCGCCCCTTTCATTTTTCCTCGCTCTCTTTGTCTCGCCTTTGTCCCCCCCCCCTAGCTTCTCTCGCCCTCCTCCCTAAATAGCGCCTGCTACGCAGGCTACGTGTTGATATACAGTTATATCAACACGAGTGGAATTGGGAAAACGAGAAATTGTATGGAAACACGACGCCCGAAGGGCGGAGTGTTTTCATACAATTTCGAGTTTTCCCAATTTCCACGAGTGTTTTATATTTTTTTATAATATAGCAATGCCAAAAGCCCGAAGGATAAGAAAAATTTCCGTGCTTACAAGCGGCGGAAAATTTTCCGTGTTGACATTGAGTTATATCAACACGGCTCTTAGCCAATCAGCGTTCAGAATTTACAAATGCTATATTATAACAAAGTATCTTACGTTTAGCTCATTAATATGTAAAAGCGTGGAAGGACCAGGAATATAGTTTCGTGTAATATAATATACTTCAGTATAAGGCTCTACGAGTGCTAACCACTGCGTAGAATAACTTTTGTGTGATTTTATGGAAATTCCCGACGTTTTGAGTGCAGGCCCATCTGGTCAGGAGAGTTTATAGTAGGAAGATGTGATTTAGATATTTTGCGCGACGTGACGCCAATCCCGGCGGAATTGCGGAAATAACCTAGCAGGGAACAGTTATTAAATGGTGTAATCTTTAAACAACTATATTCCTCGTTTTTGATACTCAGTGTAATTTCCTGCTATACAGGGTAACGTATAATTAAAGATACAACTGTGATCCAATGTTAGACCTGGAAACGAGGTTGAGAACCATTCTCAGCAAAGGGCAGCCTTGCATATTGACGTATTCAAACTTATACTAAGTGTATTTATCACATGGTCCTTCAATTGATTTTACATATAAACTCGCTAAAAATATAGTGATTAAAACGACGTATAATGTTAGTCAACTGGTTTGAAGCGTTTCGGTTATATTTCAGATCGATTTTTCCATGTTTTACCACTCTGTGTTGCATCCAGTAGACGCCACTTCGTACGCGCTATGAATCACTTCAATTACATTGTCGAGAAGTTCAGGATGAACTTAAGCATCAAATTTCTTCATTGATTTCCAGTTAAGCCCTAAGTTGATTGTCCCAAAATTGTGTTCTTTTTTTCGAGTTTATGATCCGCCCTTGAAGAGAACTGATGTGCCTTGAGCGAGATGGTGTTTGGCTCGAATAGATTAATTCGAAGATCACCTACCTCAATGGACCATTTGCGTTATAGACTAAATTTTGATCTAGACAAAAATTTCATCACAGCTTGAATAAGCTTCACAAAATTAGTAATATTCCAAAGTTTCGTTGCGAAATGTTGTAAAATGCGAATAATATAGCCTTGCGAAATTTGCAATTTTCAGTCATTTTGTATTACGCACGGGAAATTGACAGTCCAATCGGGTGTTGGGGCAACAATTTCCCGTTAATAATACAAAATGACTGAAAATTGCAAATTCGCAAGGCTATATTATCCGCATTTTACAACATTTCGCAACGAAACTTCGGAATATTACTAATTTTGTGATGCTCTTTCAAGCTGTGATGAAATTTTTGTATAGATCAAACTTTAGTCTGTAATGCAAATGGTCCATTGTGTCATTAAGTTGCTTTTTCGTCACAGTAATTCGTACTAAATGCACCTACTCGATAATTGCGTCAATGCTTCATAATTCTTATGAATGATTTACAGGTTCCCAGGGCTGACGCAATATGGAAACGGTTAATATTAATTTCGGCGCATGAAAACGGATTTCACTATTCTTAGTAAGAGCTAATTTGCAAAGTGGGTAATGGACTTCGCTATTGGCCCAACATCTATTCGACTACAGCAAGTGATCGAGGGAGTAGCGAGTTAATTAGTGTGGACTGTCGTGCGACATCCAATAACAGCTGACCCGGGTACTACTAGCGATTGTCTCAGCATTGACGCGCGTTTGACCTGCCTTTTTAACTAGCTTCAGATTTAAATTAATCTATTAAACATTTCATTTGTTTTAATATTTTTCTCTTTCCTTCTCTTTTAGGTATGCCTAAAGAAAACTTTTGCTCATGTTACATATTGTTGAACTTTGTCCGTTACATATTGATGCATGCATGATATTTGTACTTTAATGTGGCCAATATGCCTACGTTAAGGTCACAAAGGCCACAACTACAATGATAGTTTAATATTTATTATAATGAATTGATGACAATATTGACTTACGGATTGAATGAAGATACCATTGTAACTATATATTCAATAAATATGAATAATGTAAAACATTCACTTTGTTTATTTTTGATCAAATGAAGTACACAGGAGGCTCCAAAATTTTTTACTTTTATATAATTCTGCGTTTCGGGGATGCCCATATAGATTAGTCGAAACCTAGAATGTATTGTATCTTATATTAATTTGTACTCAAGTGGTCCAGGAAACAACCAATCTATGCATGCTCGCGATCGTAGCAAAATAACACCTGGAAATTATACCTGTGACGATATCGAGATATATGTACCCAGTATTTAAAATTACTGGCCTATTCAAAAGTACGTAATTAATTTCACTAAATTTGCAAATATCGATAAAAATATATATGGCAAACAAATATGCATATGTCAAATTGGCAAGAATTTGGCAGCAAATTCGCATTTATACTGCAAATAATAAAATGAACCAATAATGGCATCATATGCGATTATTTTGCGATTTTCTATATTCGCCCAAAATTCGCCACAAATTCGCATTACCTGCAAATATAAAAAACGACACCATCTTTGCATCAAATTTGCAATACGTGGCATAGCGGTATTTGCAATCCGGCACATGGTGCAAAGTCGACGCCAATTTATAACTTTGCATATGTGCAAATGTGGTCAAAGATGTGCGATTTTAGAAATCGCTTTAAATTTGCACATACATTTGCACATATGCAAATCCAATTTTTCATCCCGTGATCATATATTTGTACACTATATAAAGTCTATAACTTACATCATATAAACAGAATAGTTTAATATTAATAGAATAAAAACAATTTGTTTTGTAAATACTGTAATGACAACGTCACAACAAATGTAGTTTTGAGTTTGCTAGCTACAATATAAAACTATTTACAGTTTTAATAAAAGAATATTAGACCAAACAACTTGTTTTGATGTCTGTGTCAATCTGTGTTGGGAGTCTCTCTCTCTCTATATATATATGCATGTTGACAACAACTGTCATAGAGGTCCTTGTCCTGTTCAAGGTCAAAAATGTTTTACTTTTGTTCACATCAGTGAACCAAAACTACATCTTTCCTTTTGCACTATTGGATTTCCTATAACCAATCCCAGCCTGCTAAATAAATGAAATGGGCAGACTGTATGCCAATCAAATATCCAGTCTTGTCAGGGTTCGCACACTTTCTCCGATTTAAAATTCCATGACTTCCCATGACTATTTTTTTCAAAATGCATGACCTGGAAGTCTGGAATTTCTGAAATTCGTTAATATTTCAACAATAACAGATATAGTAAAAGAACAAAATTCACTTCGCTCTTGCAAAAATCTGTTATATAACAGCAATTCATATTATTGTTATGACTGGTAAATTAAAAACAGCAATTCATATTATTGTTATGACTGGTAAATTGAAATAGGTAATTTTGATTTTCCAGGATTTTCAGGCCTGGATTTTGGAATATTGAAATTCCATTACTTTCCAGGACCCGTACGAACCCTGTCTTGTGTGAGAAACACTTCACACCCGATGATTATATTAACCCATCGAGTTGCAGTGCGCCCTACTTTATTATTTTACTCTGTCTAACGCCAGACAATTTTACTCGTCAAGGGGAGAGCAGTGGCACTTAATGGGTTAACTGGCCTATCTGCCCATGTGTCTAGTTAACCCATTGAGTCGTTTTGTGCCCTATTTTATTATTTTACTCTGTCTAACGCCAGACAATTTTACTCGTCAAGGGAAAGTGCTGATGCTTAAGTCAGCTGTCTCAAGGGGAGAGTGCCTGAAGGGGAGAGTGCTGATTGTGGAGGGCAATCAATAAAAGGCCAATCCAACTTATCCAAGAAATATCTAAACGAAGATGCCATCCCATCTATTTTTGATTATCAATGATGAATCAATCAGGTTTCTTGGAGAGAACTAGATACTGTGAAGGTTTTTGATGCATACCAGTCAAATTAGTCAGTTTCTTCAAATTAGTTTCCATTGAAAACTTTCGCTGTCACTAGTTCTCTCTACAAACCTGATTGATTCATCACTTTTCACTGTCCAGGCCATATAGACTTGAGATCCCTTGACATCTGCAGCAGCAAGGAGGTTGTCAAAGTCACACTAAACAGAGCATCAGAATTTTCGCACCAGCAGACCAAATAAATCAAGTAAAATAGGTTTTAACTTCAAAATACTTCACAGTATTATTCCCTGTTATATATCCCAACCGAGATCCTCGAGAAAAAAAGCACCCAAAGAACCAAAACCTTTATTTTCTGTAACAAAATGTCTCGAACTGCTCAACCGACTATGTGACGATTTTCAGATAACATTTAGCGATCGATTATTTCGTCTTTATTAAACTTAAATTGTACAAATATTCATCCAAAACCTTCACACCAGTTAGTTCTTCCCAAAATAAAGTGATAGAACGGGATCGGAAGCTGTAGGACGAAGCAAACTGCGAAAAACATGTTTTTTCCCTATCTCGCTCTATGATTTTTGCCCGGTTGAGCCGCCATTTTGAATGTTCATGAGTGCCACGCTCGTGCGTTATAGAAAACATTAGAGTCAGCAATCTAGGTCTCCTATATCTATGGTTCTAATTCTTCCCTTTCCCCGGGTGAAAATAGCCGGGGGGAATTAGTACCCTTGTCGTCGGCTCGGGGATAATTAAGTTTTTAGCTCTTAATTGATAATGCTGCTGTGTTTCTTGCTTTTGTGTGAAAAAATGCAATAACTATAATGAGGTGAATAGGGTATACAAATCCGCCGATCCGCCCAAAATTTGAAGCAAAATCCACGATCCGACAATGGGCTTCTCTAAATTTGAATCCGCTA